GTCCTATAACATCTCCCACTAATATTTTTGTCATGAACTCCACCTCTCCCTCCACAATTTTCTTGACATGGCTTCCAACACCCTCCATCACCGGCTCAACAATGACCAACCCCTTTCCACCAAACCCACCACCGTACCGGACCCTAACCAAACCCTTTTGGCTCCCTCCTCTCTGGCTCATAAACTTTGCCACATTCTTCTCTTCCTTCCTCATGGGTCTCTCAGCTTGGCTTGTTTGGGCTGACGGTGGATTTCATGCCCAATCCAATGCATTTGTCCTCTACATTGCCCAAGTTTCATTGAGCATTTTGTGGGGTCCTGTTCTGCTTGCGGCTGGGGCAGCTTGGCTTGGATTGGCCATTTGTTTGATGAATTTTGGAGCTCTGTTTGCCTGCTATAAGTGTTTTCGATGTGTGAATCCATTTGCCAAGGATCTTGTAAAACCTTATTTGGCATGGGCGGCTTGTCTTGCCATTGTAAATTGTAAGCTTCTGTGTCTTGGATTTTGATTGTACGCCACACAATTTAAATTTATGGTTAGATTTTAGCACTAGAGAGGCATGAACTAGCAATCACCCTGAGGAAGAAATCTTGTCTATAAGCGTGCTATATACAACTTATCTTTCACATTTATAATTCTTTGCATACCAGTTATGGGATTAAATTATGTTAAGATAAATTGTCTACAACAGTTGCATGTTAGAATTTTTGTCCGTTAATAGGTGTAGAACAAATAGATATAATTTTTATTATTATTATAATTTAGGTTTTTAAGTTAAAACGTGTATGCAGACTTTTAACTTTGTATTTCCATGGAATTATCAATGTATGATTAATGTTGGACAATGATTAGAAGGTGTTAGGTGTTACATCTACTTGTATGTCGCAAACTTTTTATATATATATTTTTTAACACATTATAACTAGAGTTGGCATTTAGAGCAAAAATAGTCGAACCGGCCAAACCAAATTAGCGGTTCAATTTTGTTGAAATTTTCTTCTTCTTTTTTTTTTTTTTAAATCGGTGCATAACTAGCCAAACTTATGATTCTAGTTCATGGTAGTCGGATGTGATAATAAGAATGCCATGAATTTTACATTTGAATTGTCAAGCATATTTTGGACTTAAAAGTATGTTTGGTATGAAATTTGGGCCAATTTTGAATTTAGCCCAAAACCCACAAGTTCTACCTTGGTTGGTTGGTTGGTTCTCACACCTCATGATTCGTTTTCGGTTCCAAATTTCAAGGAACCAAGGGTTTCGGTGGACTCGAAACTGAACCAAATCGAATCGAGCCTAACTCTAATTATAATTAATTAATATATGTAACAGTTGATGTGTTAATTAATTATTGATCATAATTCATAACAAATACAAATCAATTATCACATTATATGATTAGTTAATATGATGTCTTTAGCTATCTTAATGAAATACGATACCATTTAGTCCTTAGAAAAAAGAATGTCATTATTATGCATCCACATACGTTACATAAATATTTTTTGAATCATGTTCGACTTTTTTACTTGACAGATGATGACATGTTGTTATTTTTTTTTGGGACCTCTTACTTAAATTTGACTTTAAAAAAAAATCCAATAAAATAAATAGTGATTTGTACTCAATTGATTTGAATAATTATGTGCCAACTTGCACTAAGTTGTTAATTAAGTAGCAATAAGAAGAGAGTGGTGATTTCCCCACTCCTTTTTCTCCTCTTTTATTCACTTACACTCTTTTTTTATAACTAAAAAAAGAGTGTAAGTGGATAAAATAGGAGTGAGAAATCATTGCCCTAAGAAGATTCGATTATAATTTAATAATCTAAGGTGAAGATACCAGAAAGTGACTGGAGGAAGATTCAATTATAATTTAATAATCTAAGGTGAAGATACCAGAAAGTGACTGGAGCCGGGTAATGTTTGCCACGTGTAGCTATATGCTGCGGACGGTCAAACTCTGTCCTTTTGTCTTGGTTCCAAATCGGCGTCTGCGGCTCGTTCTTTTCTCAAATCA